TTTCAAATAATTATGAAGTTATTAATGAAACGAGTTACTGTTTTCAGGGTCCTAATACCTTCTTACATTTCTACATACTTCCCATTATAACACTAGGCACTTAGTCATTTCTTTTGTGTCTTTTCTGGCTACCTGGCATTTCTTTGACATTTGAGAAACGTTTTGGCAATTAAATGTTTTGAAGCCCTGGCAGGGTGGCTCACGCCTGTATTCGAAGTGCTTTGAGAGGCCAAGTGGAAGGATCACTTGAGTCCAGGAGTTCAAGACCATCCTGGGCAACATAGGGAGACTTTATCTCTACAAAAATTTTTAACATTAGCCAGGTGTGGTGGCGCATGTCTGTGGTCCCAGGTTCTTGGGAGGCTGAGATGGGAGGATTGCTTGGGCCCCTAGAGGTCGAGGCTGCAGTGAGCCATGATCACACTACTGCACTCCAGGCTGTGTGACAGAATGAGACCCTGTCTCAACAACAACAACAAATTTGTCCATGAGAGAATAATTTTTTATTAACATTAGTACTTTTTATATTTTCTCCCATATTTTAGTATCTCTGAAATTGGGCTACATAAAATCAAATCATATTTGATTTTAAGACATAATGTAGTTTAATTGGCACATAAAATACAATAATGATCTAATCAATAATAGTGGCTGGCAAAATACAGCTATGTGTTCATGTAGTAGCTCATGCTTTTTCAGTGCTCATTGAGAAACATTTACTCCAAGTAGAAACAGCATAACATTTTAAAATTTTAAGCCTAATTAAAAACACAATTGTTTGCTTTTCCTCTGATGCTGAAAATGATAGGCCTTAATTTATTGGGATATATACCCATAACAGATCCAGCTTTTTATTATTTGTATATAAAGATGAATGTATTGTAATAGGTATTAAAATGTCTTCCTCATAGGGCTTGATAACCCCTGAAAATGAGAAATGTGGTAAGTTGTTAGAATTTTTTTTCCTTTTTACTATAGATTTTATAGGTTAATTTCCACAAAATGACATGCCTCATAGTTCATGGTATTTAGTTATTTCTGTATGTGAAAATGTCTAAGACAATTCTTCTAGAAGCTTAATATTGTACTATAATTCTTCCAAATTAATTACTACCACCAGATAGTAGTATTGATCCGGAAAATCATGGGAGCATTTATTATCAATAGTTGCAGGCTAATGGGAAAGAGATTTTTAAAAAATATTTTCCTGTTTTTTGTTGTTTGTTTTTAAAAACACCTAGAAGCTAGATCCTGACTTAAATAAAAGCCCAAAGTTTACCTATCTGATGGAACTGGCACTATAGAAATCTATTGTTTTAGGAATCATCCTTTTAATACTTTCACATTTACTTGTGAAGACCAGTAAAACTATATAGCTCAAACCAATGTTATAATGCTCAGTTTGAATTTTTCTACCATATTCCTTTTACTGTCATATCATACTAAAATAGATCAAGTTATTATTAAAGTCAGTGACCATGTAAGTAACTCATCAAACATCCCAGCCTGTACAGTGTTTTCAGTTCACCTGTTGTGTCTTCCCCTACCCTCCATTTTGCTGCAGTTCTCTCTCAATATTATACTCTGAATATTGACCTAATGAGTCTGTTCCATCTTATAAATGCTATTACTTTCTATAATTTTTTATAATGAAAATAGCAGGGCCGGATGTAGTGGCCTGCACCTGTAATCTGAGCACTTCGGGAGGTCAAGACAGATGGATCACTTAAGGTCAGGAGGTTGAGAGCAGCCTGGCCAACATGGTGAAATCCCATCTTTACTAAAAATACAAAAATTAGCCAGCCGTAGTGGTCACACCTGTAATCCCAGCTGCTCCAGAGGCTGAGGCAGGAGAATCACTTGAACCTGGGAGGCGGAGGCCGTAGTGAGCCAAGATTGTGCCACTGCACTCCAGCCTGGGCAACAGAGCGAGCCTCTGCCTCAAAACAAGAAAATGGCAGAAGCTTTAGAGCCAAGCCAGCCTGGATTGGAATCCATCTGACTCTTAGATGTTACTTCACTGAGAAATTAGAGGCCTTTAGACCAGGATCATCATTTCCTCCTAGAACATGGCCCTGAGTATCTCACCACCACTAGTCTCATATAGCTGCCTCTCCTGTTTGTCTCCACTGCACATTATGCATACTTTTATTTAAAAACTTAGTATGATAATTAATGTATCTCTCTGTGTCTCCTATTAGATGAGAATTTGGCACTGTATAGCCTACAGGCCTAATGTTTGTTATAACCTTGAGCTAAACAGATGGCTTTTATGTTTTTAAAGAGTTGTGTTTTATTTTTTTTGAGACAGAGTTTCGCTCTTTTGTTACCCAGGCTGGAGTGCAATGGCGCGATCACGGCTCACCGCAACCTCCGCCTCCTGGGTTCAGGCAATTCTCCTGCCTCAGCCTCCTGAGTAGCTGGGACAACAGGCACGCGCCACCATGCCCAGCTAATTTTTTGTATTTTTAGTAGAGACGGGGTTTCACCATGTTGACCAGATGGTCTTGATCTCTTGACCTTGTGATCCACTCACCTCAGCCTCCCAAAGTGCTGGGATTACAGGCTTGAGCCACCACGCCCAGCCAAGAGTTGTTTAAAAAGAAAATGAGCTGGGCTCGGTGGCTCACTCCTATAATTCCAACACTTTGGGAGGCTGAGGTGGGTGGATGACAAGGCCAGGAATTCGAGACCAGCCTGACCAACATGGTGAAACTTCTGACTCTTAAAAAAAAAAACAAAAAAAGAAAAACAATGAAACTAAGAAAAGCAAAGAAGAATATGACAGTGATCTTATGTGGCTTGCAAGGCCTAAACTACTTATTTTCTAGTTTGTTGTTCTCTAGCTTTATTTTCTTTAAGAAGTTTGTGGGCTCCATTCTAGACTATAAGCATCTTGAGGATGGGGATCATCTGTTATTTTACTTAGATTCCAAGTTTCCAATAAGGTTCCTTACCTGAAGTATGGGGTATGTGATCAAGATTGTGAAAGAATGAATGAATTATAGTAGTTAATTTCTTTTGTTACTAGTCTTAAACATTGGTAATTAAAGAATAAACTACAATCTAAACAACATAAAACTTTAAAAGTAGAGTTATTATTTTGGGGTACAAATAGTTCATTAGTTAACCCTGACATTGTTGATTTCTATACAAAGGCATTTCCGTTGCAATTATTCCCTTAGAACATAGGTATATAGTATAGCTACCTTAAGGAATATATTATGTCAAGACCTAGATTTATGAAATAAGAATGATGAAAATCTTCACATTGCAGAAAGTACTCACTGCAGATTTCTATATGACCACAATAATACCTAACATGACTTCCTGTGCTCACTACACTTGTATTTATATTGATCTTGATCTATAAAATTATGATGCCCAGTAGGTAAAATTTTCTCTTTTCATGCATTCCCAACAATTAAAAAATTAACTAGTTCTCTATATGATGCTACAAAGGGTAGTGTTTAACAAAGTCTTTGTGTTACATTTTAGATAATCCAGTGGGGGGTATTCACTCAGAGATGGGTATAGAACGTCCACCTACTTTCAGTGACAAGAGAGAACAAATATTGGAAAGTCCAGCAGATGCCACAGATATTGGTAACTTGTTTAAATCTTAAGTAGTTAACACTGGCAAGAATGAGAAAAGCTTATTTGCCATTGTGAAATGACACTTGCCAAGAATAAAATGTATGATTTATTTCACATTCAGATTAAAAATCGAAATAAAAAACTGCGGTACATAACAAATCTTTGTTTTGGAAAGACTAAATTATCTTAGATGTTTTTCTTACATTGTGATAAAATTGGTTTTATTTTTAGCGTAAGATGTTTAAAAGAAGCAATTATTTTTAGTTACCTGAAATAAATTTACAGTTGTTTTGCATTTACAAAGTTTTGTTTGGTTTAAATTCTAAATTCCCTTGTGGAAATCTATTTGCTCCAGAAAATGAGGATGTCTGTGGACATGGTTTTTAGTAGTTTAAAAGTAAATTTGAACACTGACTAGTTATTGTGGTGTTTTCACTATAGGTTTTGGTAATCGCTGTGGAAAACCCAAAGGACCAAGAGATCCACCTTCAGAATGGACATGATTCAGGGAGCTAAAAGACACTTTAAATTATACTGGAAAATTCAAGTGCCACTGAAAGCCAGATTTATCGTATTCCATCTTTAATATGTGGGACTAACAGCAGTGTAGATTGTTACCTTAATATTTTTTGCTGGGACCATCTACCTGCCTTATAGGAAAAAGTATTACGTATGGTTTATTTTGAAACTTCAAGTATTATTGCCTTAATGTCTCTTAATCCTGTTACACGCTGCTTGTAGACATGTTAATACAGTAATACTTTTATGATATATTGAGTTTAAGGACTACTCTTTTTCTGTTTTATCATGTATGCATTATTTTGTATATGTACAGGGCAAGTAGGTATATAATTTGATAAAGTTGCAATCATAAAATATTATTAACAGAAGATGTAAGAAATTTCTGCATGGTCTAAATCTTTGTGTACTTTATTTGTAAATTATTTGCCCTGGAGTTTTAGAAAATAGTTTCTGAATTTTAAAATTGCTGGATTCATGCAGCCAGCCTTCCAGGTTATCAGAGATCCAAGATTGTAATAATAATACATTTTGTAAATTGTAAGCAAAAAGTTATTTTTATATTATATACAGTCTAATTGTTCATCCTCATTGTTCTTGTTTTCATCTAGTCAGAGATTCAGTAAGTGCCTTGGAACAATATTGAATTCTCTTAGCTTGTGTGTGTTTCTTCAATATTTGAACTCAACTGGGATAAGAAGACTATCAGAATACATGTATGTTTCAGGATATTAGACCTGCCATTAAAAAAACAAACCATTTTACAGTGCCTACTTGTTGCTTTGGCTTTTCATTTCTCATTCCTAGGAAATTGGACTTAACTATATCTGCCTTCTTGCTGGCTCAGTCTTGGTGTGAAATGAGTGTGAAAGGGGTTTAATCTCTTTTATTTTTAGACAGAGCCTTGCTCTGTCATCCACTTGAGCGCAGTCACTCACTGCAACTTCTACTTCCTGGGTTCAAGTGATTCTCCTGCCTCACCCTCCCGAGTAGCTGCGATTACCGGTGCCCACCACCATACCCGGCAATTTTTGTATTTTTAGTAGAGACAGGGTTTCATTATGTTGGCCAGGCTGGTCTCGAACTCCTGAAATCAGGTGATCCACCCACCTTGGCCTCCCAAAGTGCTAGGATTATAGGTGTGAGCCACCATGCCAGGCCTAATCTCTTAATTAAGGAATATCGAGTACCTTCTGCAAAAAACATGGTTCTGCCGATTCTAAATACTTATCCTTGAGTCAGCCCCTAGGCATTCCTCACCTTTATTAGCCTACCTGAGTCCTAGTAGAAAATCAAAGAGAGGGGGCCAGGCCGGGTGGCTTATGACTATATTTCCAGCACTAAGAAAAGAGAAAACCAAACAGGGGAGGTTGGGAACGGGAGCTACTTTCTTCTCATCCCATGACCGGAACACAGATTACATTTGTGAATACTAAGTCTGAATTTTGACAACCGTGGATGGGAATTGTTGGATATCTGTATTTTTGCCTCTGCATACAAAAGAATGATGAAATTATGAAACTTAAACTACATGGAAAACTTTATATGAGTAGAAATGGGATTATTGAGGAGAATGTAATACTATAATTTCATGTCAAATTTGTTTTAAACACTAACTGGTCTTCATGTTGACCCCTTAGAAATTTTTTTTGAGATGGAGTTTAGCTCTTGTCCCCCGCCCACAGGCTGGAGTGCAATGGTGTGATCTCGGCTCACTGTAACCTCGGCCTCTCAGGTTCAAGCGATTCTCCTGCCTCATCCTCCTGAGTAGCTGGGCTTCCAAGTGCCCACCACCATGCCTGGCTAATTATTTTGTATTTTTAGTGGAGATGGAGTTTTGTCATGTTGGCCAGGATTACAGGCGTGAGCCACCATGCCTGGCCAATCCCTTAGAATTTGAAAAGTTCTGTATGCTTCCCTAATAAGGAGGTGGTAATACAGTGGATGCTTGACCTTCTCAAGACACAGGCACTCCTATAATAATCTTTTCCTAATACAATGTAAACTGAAATAAAGCATAACTTTAAAGAATTTAGCCCCTTCACATACGTGATGAGTTATGGTAAGTACTAAAATCATAAGGATTTTTGCTGTTGGAATGGGGTCTCTTGGAATACCTTCAGTGAAGTATGCATGCATTCAGAAGTATGCTAAAATCATACTAATCATCATAAATAATACCACCTATGTGAGTGTGACCACCACCTATGTGAGTGTGACCACCACCTAGGTCAAGCAGTAGAACAGTATCAGCAACTGGGAAGCTGCCCCCTTTGGCTTCTGAGATTTGCTCATTTTCATATGTGTATCCATTATATGTTCTTTGGTTTTTGAGATGGTGTCTCATTCCATCATCCTGGCTGGAGTTGAGTGGTGTAAGCTTGGTGCATCCTTGACCACCTGGGCTCAAGTGATCCTCCCAAGTAGCTGGGACTATAAACACATACCATTACGCCTGGCAAATTTTGTTTATTTTTTGTAGAAAATAAAAGTCTCTGGTAGCTCACACCTATAATCCCAGCACTTTGGGAGGCTGAGGCGGGTGGTTCATGAGGTCAAGAGATTGAGACCATCCTGGTCAGCAAGGTGAAACCCCGTCTCTACTAAAAATACAAATATTAGCTGGGCATGGTGGTGCACGCCTATAGTCCCAGCTACTCGGGAGGCTGAGGCAGGAGAATTGCTTGAACCCAGGAGGCGGAGTTGTAGTGAGCCAAGATCATGCCATTGCACTCCAGTCTGGGTAACAACAGCATAACTCTGTCTCAAAAAAAAAAAAAAAAAGAAAAGTCTCACTATGTTGCCCAGACTAGTCTCAAACTCCTGGCCTTAAGTGATTCTCTTGCCTTAGCCTCAATCTGAGCCACTGAGTCAGCCATGCATGTATCTTTTGGCACACACCTGTACTTCTATCTGTTGGATATATATTAAGGTGTGGAATTTTGTTATCACAGTGTTGACATATATATTTCAGCTTTAGTACATACTGCCAGTTTTCTAAATTGATTTTTCTAATTATTACAAATTCTTGCTAACACTTCATATGGTCAGTACTTTGCATTTTAGCCATTCTAATGGGTATGTAGTGGTATTGCCTTATCTGAATATCTATTTCTTTGATGATTAGTGAGGTTGAACAGCTTTTCACCTGCATGTGACCATGTTGATTTCCTCTTCGATGAACTACCTGTTCAGGTCTGAAGCAGATATGATTTGGTAGTATCAGCTGAAACTGAATATACATGTGCCCTATAATTTAGCAATTTTGCACAAGTTTGTTTCTTTTGTGTTGTCTTTTTCTTATCAATATCTTGGAATTGTTTGTATATTCTACGTTTTAATCCTTACGGGTTTGCCTGTGGTTTGTCTTCTCACTCTATTAATGGTTTTTTTAGTCCAAGTTACTAGTCTTTTCTAATTAATGCTTGTTCTGGTTCTCTCTTAGGAATATTTGGCTATCCCAAAGTAATGAACTGCAGTTTTTCTAGAAGCTCTATTTAGCTTTTTTAAAAATCTAAATCTACAGAATTTGTGTATGATAAGAGGTGGATTTTTTTTAAATTGACCAACCACCAATTACTGAGAAAACTGTCCCTCCTCCACTGAGTTAGCTTATAAATTTGGGGTTTATTGATCTGAGAATCAGTTTCTGGATTTTTTTTTTCTGCTATTCTGTTGCCTATCCTTACACTATTTTAAACTCTGCCTTTTTCCAGCTTTAGCTTTCTCCCATTGATTAATTTTTGTGTTGCCTGGAACACTTGATAAAAGCCACTTCTATTTTTCTGTGTTGTAAAGCATATAGTGAGCTCAATTGTATCTGATACTCCACTGCCAAATTCATCCTGCCAGTTTCCAAACCTCAGCCTTGTAACTAGCCTACAAAGACCTTTGAATCTCTCTTTCCATCCCAAGTACTATCAGTTAGCTTTCTTTTGGAAGCCATTTTTCACGAACAGTGTTTTTTGCTTTATGGACCTTTTTTCATACATTAATGAGCATAAAGTAATAAAGCCATAGTTATTTGTAAGTGCTGAGCTAGACTCAGTCACTAGGTAACTGACTTGCTCACATGTAACAACCTCATTGGATATGTGGTGCAGATTCTTGCCTGAGCAAAATTCTGTAGCTATGTTCTAAACTCTTGGGGTTACTTAAAATAGTAGTAACTACGAATGTTAAATTCGTGAATGTGAAGAGTGTACTATATATCAGTTTGCCTTTTTATATTCTGAAATTGAATTTACTATAGGTAGAAAGTTCAGAATTCCTACTTATATTTAGCTAATTAAATGGATATGAAAGAAAGGGTATCTTAGTTCCCAAGATTCTGGCTTGGAAAGGAAAAAATGTCAACTTTGGATATGTTGAGTTTTGGGTAGTCAATACATTCAGCATCAGAGAAGTGATGTCTGGTTTACAGGTGGAAACAAGTTTGAAGTTCAGAAGGAAGGTCCACATTGAAGATCAAGATTAGGGCATTAATACTGAGATGAATGAAACCATGAGTGTGCCCAAAACCCCAGGGAGGATAAATGGACAATTTGATATTTAAATGAATTTTTGCAGTTATATGGTAAATCTTTACATGCCTATTTGTCAAAACATGATTTTTAGGTTAAACATGGGCACTATCTCCATGCCAGTTATCTGAGTCACTTTGTACTCTAGGTTCTGATCTCTTCAATCCATTCATCTTCCTCACTACCACCAGGCTGATGTTGCTAGAAGGTCAACCAGGATCTGCTCTTGACTTCTCCCTAAAAAATATTTAATGGCTCTTTATTGCATGTAGTAATGTTTCATCAAAACATTAAAAACCTGGCCGTGAGCAGTGGCTCATGCCTGTAATCCCTGCGCTTTGAGGGGCTGAGGCAGACAGATCACCTGAGGTCAGGAGTTCGAGACCAGCCTGGCCAACATGGTGAAATGTCATCTCTACTAAAAATACAAAAATTAGCTGGGCGTGGTGGCAGGCGCCTATAATCCCAGCTACTTGGGAGGTTGCAGCAAGAGAATTGCTTGAACCCAGGAGGTGGAGGTTGCAGTAAGCCAAGACCGTGCCGTTGCACTCCAGCCTGGGTGACAGAGTGAGACTTCGTCTCCAAAAAAAAAAAACTCAAAAGTTCAAAACTTGGGGCTCAGGTTCTCCTGTGCTAGAATTTAGGGAGTGTTCTTAAAATTCAGGTTCCAAGGTCCTACTCTGGGCCTGAATTAGAGTGGAGCCAAAGAATCTGTTTTAGACAAGCAGCATAGGTTGCAATGATAAAATTGGAGAACAAGACCTACAGGATCAAGTCCAGACTCCTGAGCAGATTATGCAAGACCTTGTTCAAGATCTTTCTGCTGCTGATCTCTCAGGCCTTTTCTCTGGTCACATCTGTGCTCCAACCACGAACTACTTAGTTTCCAGAGCTCCCCACCCCTGTTAGTCATCCTATGCCTTCCCTCTTCAATGTCGTTCTTTGTCCTGTTCTGGTGAGCCCTACGCATCTAACAAGATTAGTTCAAGTGTCATTTCCTGTGTTAAACCTACCTTGTCCTGTCTCCTACCAAGTCAAATCAACCATTTCCTCTTTCTGCTCTACTAAAGTAGCTTCCCTGAGAGAAATAACCGTTAAATTTAGTGGAAATATTGCCATATATAGAGTCAAGTAGCTAAGTGTTCAAAGTAGGACTAATTTTGAATATCAGTATTTTCTTTTTTTTTTTTTGAGAACAGGGTCTCACTCTGTCCCCAGGCTGGAGTGCAGTGGCACAGTCTCGGCTCACTGCAACCTCCCCCTCCTGGGTTCAAGTGATTCTCCTGTTTCAGCCCCCAAGTAGCTGGGCCTACAGGCACCCGCCACCTCACCCAGCTAAATTTTATGTTTTTTAGTGGTGACAGGGTTTTGCCATGTTGGGCAGGCTGGTCTTGCACTCCTGACCTCAGGTGATCCACCTGCCTCAGCTTCCTAAACTGCTGGGATTATAGGCTTGAGCCACCATGCCCGGCCTTTTTTTCCCCCCCGAAACAGTCGCCCAGCCTGGAGTGCCATGGCGTGATCTTAGCTCACTGCAACCTTTGGCCCCCAAGTTCAAGCGATTTTGATGCCTCAGCCTCCCAAGTAGCTGGGATTACAGGAATGCATACCACACCTGGCTAGTTTTTTAATTTTTTAGTAGAGATAGGGTTTCGCCATGTTGGCCAGGCTGATCTCAAACTCCTGGCCTCAAGAAATCTGCCCACCTCAACTTCCCAAAGTGCTGGGATTGCAGGTGTAGCCTGAATATAAGTATTTTCTTAAATGTGGTCCTGAGCCCAGGTATGGTGGCTCATACCGGTAACCCGAACACTTTAGGAGGCAGAGACAGGATTGCTTGAGGATAGGAGTTAAAGGTTACAGTGAGCTATGATCACACCACTGCACTCCAGTCTGGGCAAAGTGAGACTCCATCCCTTTTTCTTTTTTTGAGACAGTCTTATCTTACTCTGTCACCCACGCTGGAGTATGGTGGCGCAGTCACAGCTCATTGCCCCCTTGACCTCCTGGGCTCAAGTGATCCTCCCACCTCAGACTCCGAGTAGTTGGGACTACAGGTGCATGCCACCATGCTTGATTGTTGATATTTTGTAGAGATGGGTCTTGCTGTGTTGCCCAGGCTGGTCTCCTGGATGCAGGTGATCCTCCTGCCCCAATTTCCCAAAGTGAGACTCCATATGTAAAAGAAAAGTATTCCTGTAATCCCAACACTTTGGGAGGCTGAGGCGGGTGGATTACCTGAGGTGGGGAGTTTGAGACCAGCCTGACCAACATGAAGAAACTCTGTCTCTACTAAAAAAGCACAAAATTAGCCGGGTGTGGTGGCGCATGCCTGTAATCCCAGCTACTTGGGAGGCTGAGGCAGGGGAATTGCTTGAACCCAAGAGGTGGGAATTGCAGTGAGCCAAGAGGCACCATTGCACTCCAGCCTGGGCAACAAAAGCAAAACTCCCTCTCAAAAGAAAAAAATATATATATGCCTGGGAGGGATAGCATTAGGAGAAATAGATACCTAGTGTAGATGATGGGTTGATGGGTGCAGCAAACCACTATGGCATGTGTATACCTATGTAACAAACCTGCACGTTTTGCACATGTACCCCAGAATTGAAAGTATAATTTAAAAAGGAGCATTTTTCAAAAAAAAAGAAAGAAAGTATTGTCCTGACACAGAATCAAAAATAAATGTCTAATGAATAGGTGACTTAAATCCAAAACCATAGTACATGTTAAGGTAGCTAAGCCATACCTGGTTTCAATTTATATTTCCAATGGAAGTCTGTTAATAGACTCCTATTTAAAAGTCTGTATTTTCAGCTGGATGCAGTGGCTCACACCTGTAATTCTAGCACTTTGGGAGGCCGAGGTGGGTGGATCACCTGAGGTCAGGAGTTCAAGACCAGCCTGGCCATCATGGTGAAACCTTATCTTAAAATAATAATAATAAAAGTAAAAAAATTAAAAATCTGTATTTTCAAACTTAATACCTCTTGACATATTTAAAGCACTTATGTAAAGATGCCCATGAAATAAAGCTTAATGTAGAGGTTGTTTACACTCGTCCCTGCTCCTGGAGCCAGTTCATAAGCAGAGTGATTAAAAACATCACAGCTGGGCGCGGTGGCTCACGACTGTAATCCCAGCAATTTGGGAGGCCCAGGCAGGCATATCATGAGGTCAGGAGTCCAAGACCAGCCTGACCAACATGGTGAAACCCCGTCTCTACTTAAAATACAAAAATTAGCCGGGCGTGGTGGCGCGTGCCTGAAATCCCAGCTACTTAGGAGGCTGAGGCAGGAGAACCCGGGAAGCGGAGGTTGCAGTGAGCCAAGATGGCACCACTGCATTCCAGCCTGGGTGACAGTTAGACTCTGTCTCAAAAAACAAACAAAACCCAAAAAGATCATCCACTAACATGAGTTATATGCCAGGAATGTACCTATGGTCTCCAAACTTCATATTTGACTCTTTTCTCAAAACATCTATACTTGTTTTCTGAAAACATCGATATGTGTATATATCTATGAACACCTTAAATTCTGGTTTAATATTAAACCAAAATTATTTCATAGATTGCAATAAAATACCAAATATAGGCCAGTGCAGTGGTTCACACCTGTAATCTCAGCACTTTGGGAGGCTGAGGCAGGAGGATTGCTTGAGCCTAGAAGTTAAGAGAACAGCTTGGGCAACATGGTGAAACCTCATGTCTACCAAATATAAGAAAATTTGGCCAAGTGCGTTGCCTCATGCCTGTCATGCCAGAACTTTGGGAGGCTGAGGCAGGTGGATCACTTGAGGTCAGGAGTTTAAGACCAGCCTGGGCAACATGGTGAAACCCTGTCTCTACTAAAAATACAAAAATTAGCCAGGTGTGGTGGTGCATGCCTGTAATCCCAGGTACTCTGGAGGCCGAAGTGGGAGAATCCCTTGAACCTAGGAGGCAAAGGTTGTAGTGAGCCAAGATTGTGTCATTGCACTGCAGTGTGGGTGACAGAGCAAGACTCCGTCACAAATTAAAAAAAGAAAATTAGCCAATTGTGGTTCTCACCTGTAGTCCCAGCTACTCGGGAGGCCAAGGCAGGAGGATCACTTGAACCTGGGAGTTCAAGATTATAGAGATCAAGAGCCGTGATCCCACCCCTGCACTCCAGGCTGAGTGCCAGAGTGAGACCCTCTCTCAAAAAAGAAAAAGAAAAAAAAACATTTTCAGACTTAAGAGACAATTTTGTGCTTAATGTAAAGGAGAGCAATAAAATGAATTAATGCAATCTGAAGCGTTTGAGAGAAATTCCAGTGAAAAACAACATCTTCATTATATTTAGCCTTAAAAAATTTTCTGATTGTAATATTTTTGTTGATATATATTTGATTTTTTTTTTTTTTTGAGACAAGTCTCACACTGTTGCCCCAGGTGGAGTGCAGTGCCACAATCTCGGCTCACTGCAACCTCCACCTCCTGGGTTCAAGTAATTCTCCTGTCTCAGCTTCCCAAGTAACTGGGATTACAGGCATCTGCCACGATGCCCAGCTAATTTTTTTTGTATTTTTAGTAGAGACAGGGTTTCACCATGTTGGCCAGGCTTGTCTCGAACTCCTGACCTTGTGATTTCCCTGCCTCAGCCTCCCAAAGTGCTTGGATTACAGGTGTCAGCCACCATGACCGGCCCTTTTTTATTTCTTCTTTTGAGACAGGGTCCCACTCTGTTACCAAGGCTGGAGTGGAGTAGCACCATCTTAGCTCACTGCAACCTCCACCACCTGGGGTCAAGCAATCATCCCACCTTAGCCTCCCAGGTAGCTGGGACTGCAGGCGCACACTAGCATGCCTGGCTAAGTTTTGTATTTTTTGTAGAGATGGGGTTTCACCATGTTGCTCAGGCTGGTTTCAAACTCCTGGACTCAAGTGATCTGGCAGCCTTGGCCTCCCAAAGTGCTAGGATTACAGGTGTGAACCACTGCACTGGCCTGTATTTGGTACTCTGTTGCAATCTATGAAGTAATTTTGGTTTAATATTAAATACAGGACACTAAACTGAATTAGCTCATTGTTGTGCTGGTTTTAGTAAAATTCTTGTTGCTTTTGTCCTTTTACAGAGATATTTACTAATTGCCTGCTTTTAGTGGTTAGTCTAGATATCCAAAATTCAGATTCTATTAATTACTTTCTAAATAATAGCATGTAATTTAATTTCAGTTTTTTAGTAATTTATTCTCCAATTCTGGGTCTTCGTTACACAGCCTTAAAGGTCAGAAGCCCATGTTTTCATTCCGGCAAATTAAGAATGGCAAAGGCTTTAACCCAGATTTTGGCATATTTGAAACTCAATAAGCATCCCCTGCGTATTGTGCTAAACATGGAAAGTGGCTTCAGTGTTTGGAAGTGTATATGAAGTCCCTAGTGCCAGATGCCCCATTAGATCATTTTGCAAGAGGCTTGAGCAAATCTTAAACAGTTTAGTTTTGTACATAAACTATATTTTTAGCAGATTTGTTGCAACCTGTTTTCTTTGTCTCCAAGGTGCATAATTCCTATAAAATATGCAAATGAGCAATATTTAGATTGTAAATAATTTGACCAGTAAAAGCAGCAATGCTTGGGTAGCTCAAGGAGATAGATCTCTCTGTTGAACAGATCTGAGCTTTGTTGAACTAGTGGGGGAAGGGAATTCCAAAGATTCCAGCCATTTTACATTTTGTAGAGATAATGTGGCATATGTGTTATTATCATGACTTAAATGTAATAGTATTTGTAACTTTAGAACTTTTGCCAATAATTCAAAAAGAACATATTTTTTCGCTTCTACAGATTTATACCCAAATAGCCAATATGAAGTAAACAAGAAAAGTGTAAATTTCTCCTTAAAATACGTTTTTCTGGAAATCAAGAACCAAGGAAATATTTTTCTGATCACAAAATTCTGCAGGATTAACAGTTTAATGAAAATTCAAATGTACAAATTTTCTGCACATTTGCTTCTACATTTTAGCTTTATCTATATAAAACCTAGAATACTTCTTTTTCTTTTTCTTTTTGAGACAGGATCTTCCTCTGTCATCCAGGCTGGAGTGTACTGTGGTGCAGTCACAGCTTACAGCAGCCTTGACCTCCCAGGCTCAAGCAGTCCTCCTACCTCAGCTTCCTGAATAGCTGGAACCACAAGCGCATGCCACCATGCCCAGTTAGTTTTTGTATTTTTCAGTAGAGATGGGGTTTTGCCATGTTGCCCAGGCTGAACTACTGGGCTCAAGTGATCCTCCTGCCTTGGCCTCCCAAAGTGCTGGGATTACAGGCATGAGACACTATGACTGGCCTAGAATATTTCTAATATTTTCTAAAACAATGTAAAATACACAGCTAACTACCAAAAAAAAAAAAAAAAAAAAAAAAAGCAATGTGAAAATAGTTTAAGTGACTTAAATAATTTTCTGTTTTAGGCTAAGTATTTAACTTTCTCATTGTATTTGCAGGAAGAACACAGAAACGTTTTGCATGCAGTTTCTGTGCTAAAATTTTAAAATACCAGGATAAGGGCCGGGGACGGTGGCTCACGCCTGTAATCTCAGCACTTTGGGAGGCCGAGGCGGGTGGATCACGAGGTCAAGAAATCTAGACATTCCTGATCAACATGGTGAAACCCCGTCTCTACTAAAAATACAAAAAATTAGCTGGGCATGGTGGCTCATGCCTGTAGTCCCAGCTACTCAGGAGGCTGAGGCAGGAAAATTGCCTGAACCCAGGAGGCAGAGGTTGCGGTGAGCCAAGATGGTGCCATTGCACTCCAGCCTGGGTAACAAGAACGAAACTCCGTCTCAAAATAAAATAAAATAAAATAAATAAAATACCAGGATAATATATAGGTCTTACAGTTTGGAAGATATAGAGATTAACTGATATTACGTTAGGAAAAAAGTTTGTTTCTTTTTTCTTTTTCTCTTTTTTTTTTTTTTTTAGATAGAGTCTAGTTCTTTTGCCCAGGCTGGAGTGCAGTGGCATGATCTCGGCTCACCACAATCTCTGCCTCCCGGGTTCAAGCGATTCTTGTGCCTCAGCCTCCCAAGTAGCTGGCACCCGCCACCATGCCCAGCTAATTTTTGTATTTTTTAGTATAGACGGGATTTCACTATGTTGGCCAGGGTGACCTCGAACTCCTGACCTCGTGATCTGCCCGCCTTGGCCTCCCAAAGTGCTGGGATTGCAGGGATCAGCCACAGCACCAGCCTAGGCAAAAGTTTTTTAAAATTAAGACTCTATATGTACATATTTTATTGTTTAGAAAAGTGAAATTCGGTTTATAGGGAATTTTCTGTTGCCAGCCATTCAGAATAACAAAATATTTTTAGCTCTTTCAAACTAAAATTCGTAGTCCATTTTAATAATTAATATTCTACCTACCAATATCGCTTTCCATATAATAGAAATAAATGGAAATTCATATGTAGACGTTTTAGACTTTATTTTCATTTGAATTCACATGAATGTAATGCTGGAGATTTTTGAAAGTTGGAGTCTTTGACTAAGGATTCAAAATATTGATAGCTTTTAGTAGTTTGAGTGGCAGTAGGGATTGGAACGTTACTTAACTCTTCTGCCATTCCACCAGAAGGGGGCAGCAAAGCAAATAAATAGGAAATCTTTGGGTCAAAAAATCTAGAAAAGTCACTCAAAATTCAGAGAGCTGAGTACAAGTTTGTTTGGGTGGCTTCAGTGTTAGGAAGTGTATATGAAGTCCCTAGTGCCAAATGCCCCATTAGATCATTTTGCAAGAGGCTTGAGCAAAACTTAAAGCTTCAATATATGTTCCTGCAGATTGAGGCTTATCAAATAAAAATCATTGCCAGGTGCAGTGCCTCACGCCTGTAATCCCAGCACTTTGGGAGGCCGAGGC